TCTGGTTTCCTAGTGGGCTCCAGTAATGGCTCTGCTAACTGCAATGTGTGCTTATGAAGCACCTGCTGGGTACCCTGCAGTGGCAGAGCAGGAACGCACAACCCTGGGGGGGGCGGCGAGTCAGCTCCTTAACACGCGGGAAACTGAGGCCCTGTCTCACAGGACGTCTCAAATCCTTTTCCTTGGCAGGCTAGGGCCATCTCTGTCCTTCAGTGTCCTCACTCTAAACACGGGACTTTGGAAGAGAAAATATCTCAGGAGTTTCCACATTTTCTCTTGGCCCCTCTTTGAATTTCTCCCTTGCTCTCTCTGCATTTCAGCTTTTCAGTCTCTTATAGTCTTTTTCTGTCTTGGCCTCCCCACTTCCCCCACCAGGGCCACACAATGTGTGTATGGGGGGAGGGGTGCCACTTGAACCTGCCCCTCCTTCTTTCCGGGGGACCTGGACATGTCAGGGCAGGTCTGAGGCACTCCTTGTAGAAACTGCTGAATGCCTGGTGGCAAGTTGCCAGTGCAGGAAGGATCGGGTAGGAAAGTTAAAGAGGGTGTGGGGGAAGGACTTTGGGATTTCCGGTTCAGTAATTCACCCCTACCCAGGACTGTTACACTCAAGGTGTTCTAAGATGCTGTTGGGTTTTGAGGGATGCATAGGAGTTTTCCAGGTGTAAATGGGGACAGATGGGCTTCCAGGCACTGGGGACGGCTTGTGGTCAGTAGTAGCAAGAGAAAGGAGGTTCAAATGCCCAGGAGAGGAGTTTGGCTTTCTCCTGTAAGCAAAAGGGAGCCATGGAGGGAATGAGAGGTGAGGAGGGGCCCCCATTAGATCCCTAGAATGGGGTGGACTAGAAGGATGAGACTGGTGTCCAAGACACTCATCTCCAAGTAAGACTGAGAATGTCCAGGTGAAGGCTGAGGGAAACTGCTGATCGGGGCCAAACAAGTCTCTCCAAGCCTTACCTTCCAATGAACTTCCCTCCATCTGCCTTGGATTGTTCAACTGCCTGTGTGCCCCCCCATCACTGCTGGGTCCCCTGCACTGTACTCCCAGCCTGGAAACTGCTGGAACCCTGGTGTGTCCCCAGCCCCAGGAACCTATGCACAGGAGGCACTTCCTAAGTGACCCGGGCAGCCACAGGGAGCCAGGCTGAGACCAGAACGGGTCCCCTGAGCTGGAGAAGGAAGCCGGCCTTCTGGGGCGTGCCTTCCGCTCCGGGGAGGCTGCAGCGCCTCTCTGCGCCCCCTGCTGGCCGCAGGATGGAACACCGAGCACTCACCCCTTTCCTGCCTCCTGAGGCTTATTACACACGCATTGCATTACGGGCCTGGAGCTGTGCTGGGTGCAAAGGACACTTCCTCTGAGGGTGCAAAGACCATGTGTCTTCAGGGAATTGGAGGAGGTGCCCCCTCCCCTGGGACCCATGTTCCCCAAGACAAGTCCTTTTGGTTTCAAAGCTCTATTCTTTGAAAGCCACTGACCTTAAAACCTCTTCATTCCTCAAGGACAGACATAGGGGAATGACCAAGTCCTGTTTCTGGGTCAAACTACTCAGCTCCAGAGAAGCTGGCCTGGGTTCACTTTCCTGCCTCTCCTCTCCCTGGCCATGACACAGGAGACAAGAGGCTTCACTTGGCAGAGCCTCAGTTTCCCTGTCTGCAAAAGGTGATAATGGTACCCCATCACCACCACAGGGTTGTAAGTGGGAACTTTGCCCATGCTGGGGGTGTAAATGATCGTGATTCAATTAAAATAAATAAGTAGGGGATCCCTGAGTGGCTCAGCGGTTTGACGCCTGCCTTCGGCCCAGGGCGTGATCCTGGAGACCTGGGATCAGGTCCCACGTTGGGCTCCCTGCATGGAGCCTGCTTCTCCCTCTGCCTGTGTCTCTGCCTCTCTTTCTCTCTCTCTGTGTCTCTCATGAATAAATAAATAAAATCTTTAAAATAAATACATAAATAAGTAAGTAAATAGGGGGATCCCCTGGGTGGCTCAGTGGTTTGGCACCTGCCTTCAGCCCAGGGTGTGATCCTGGGGTCCCAGGATGGAGTCCTACATCGGGCTCTCTGCATGGAGCCTGCTTCTCCCTGTCTGTGTCTCTGCCTCTCTCTCTCTCTCTCTCTCTGTCTCTCATGAATAAATGAATAAAATCTTTAAAAATAAATAAGTAAATAAAAACAAATAAAAATAAAGTTTTAGTTAAAAATTTTTAAATTAAAAAATAATAACAAATAAAATAAATACATGATCATGAGTCAAATCCCAAAAAGTTACTCAACCTCTCTGTGCATCAGAATAAATAAATGCACTGGGTTGTGAGGACGGAGACTATTCAGTACAGAAATCCTGTCATCATTATCCATTCAGGGCACTCATAAGAGCCACCACAGACTGAGCACCAGGTCACATACCAAAGACAGAAATCCCAGGGAATCAGGGCCCCCTGTGCCCACTGATGCCCCCAACCCCAGGCAGAGGATGACCCCCCAGTGGACACCAACCTCTCACAAAGACACACAAGAAATCACACATTTCAACTGTTTTATTTGCTTTCTGGGGTGTCAAGTCCAGGGCCCAGCCCCCAGCAAAGTCACGACAGACCCTTACCCAGCCTGGGCTCCCAGACAGGAGGGTTTCAGACAAGGCACTCAAAGGAACTCTTGGGGGGTCAGGGAGAAGTCACCTCGAGGGTGCAGGGGCCAGGCCCCCTTGGGGGACAAGAGAACGAAGTTACCTTAGGTAGGAAAGGTTTTTCCCAAAGAGAGATTTAGGATGAACTAGAAACCTGAGATGTTAAGAGAGCCCCGGAAACAAGCCGTGTACCCCCGGGGCAGGCAGGAAGCCAACTGTTGTCCAAGATCCAGATGTGGCTTCCTTGGCACCTGGGGATGCCACGTGCCTCGGAAGCACAGAGCCCAATTCCACACTAGCTTTCTCTGGGGTTCCCTAGAGACAAAGCGTGTCAGCCATAGAAGCCACTCACCCTAGACCCCACCTCTGCGAGTGGCTTCGGTGACCCTGGACTGGGCCCTGGGGGACCAGGGCCACCTCCCAGAGCCTGGGGTTGCTTCTCTCTTTCCCATCTCATCCCCTTTCTCTGTGCCTCATGCTTATTAGAGAGGCAGGCACTTTGTGGGTCTCCAGGCAGCTGAAAGGAAGGCCTGGTGAGGAGCGAGGGAGGGAGAAGAGGATTTGGCGAGAGGAGCAGCTCAGGGCAGGAACAGCTCCCACAGAGGTCTGGAAGCCCATGACACTCAGTTTGTGACAATGGCCCCTGCAGTGGAGGACAGAATCTCTTAGCAGAAATGTTCGGCATCCACCCAGGAATTAACTTGCAAGATGTGGATGTCGGCAAACGCACCCCTTACCCCCCAAACAGCCATCCTTCCGCAGGTGGCCATTAACGCGCCTCCCGCTGCAAAAATAGAGATGCTCTCCTTCCCAGCCAGCAGCCCCAGGCCCTTGGGAGGCACTCATGCCCTGGGAAGGGAAATTTAATTTGGGATATAAAAACAAAGGCCCTTTTCGGCTCCCCCCTCCCCCAGGAGGTGTATACAGTGGGATCTGTGGCCAAGGGTGGCCAGCTTCTGCGTGTGTGACAGCCAGCGCCCCACACTGGCTGCAGGCTCCCTGGCTCTCAGGGTGGAGGCTGGGGCCCTGCAGAAGAATGGGGCTTTGTCCCACTATCCCAAAGGGGACTTCTGGGTTTAAACACTCCAAGGGGTGGAGAGGTCAAAGGTCAACAGTCTAGACAGTGGCAGCAGAAAAGAGGCCAGTATGGTGGGCAGATTTCCAGGAGCAGCTCCCCTCCCAACCCAGGCCCAGTCGTCGCCCCCGGGGGCACACAGGCGTGCGGGTGTACACACACTGCAGCTGGCCTGGCTTCCTGGCACAAACTTCTAAGACAACAAAAAGGCATCCTGAATCTACTTTTCCAGCCATGCCCCTGATCAGGCCCTTTCTGTTCTAGAAGTTACGTGCCAGCACAGAGCAAGGCAGCTGAAAACTATTCTCCTTGCTGACACTATTGCAATCTAACATTTCCAAAGACCTGGCACCACTTGGGAAGCCGTGATTTCTGTCCCCCACCTGTCCCTGTCTCTCCCCGTGGCCAAGGGACCTTGGCTGTTCCTTGATCAAACCAGGTGAGCCAGGCGGCACAAACCCAGTCCACCAAATCAAATTCCTGCTTCTTTCCACCCTTCTTTCTTTCTTAGTAACCACTCCTTCTTATTTCTTTTTCAAGCTACATGCTCATGTACATACCACGGACCTTTTCTTTAGTAAGCAAGGGGGAGTCAAAGGGGCTGAGAGAAGAAAGGTATGAGGTGCAGAGGCTCTGGCACCATTAAGGAGATGCCATCCCCCAACACCTAGGTGACTGTTGCTGTCCTCTCCCCCACCTCAGCATACCCCATGGGGGCCCAGGGAGAGGCCTCCCATCCACCTTCTTACAAGATTCCCCCAGCAGCCTTCCCACCACATCCCTCTGCCCATCCTTCTCCACCTTCTATGGAGAACACTTGCTGCACCCACCTGTTAGCGTCTCTCCCCTACATGCCCTGCTAAGCCACATCCACTTCATAGACCCACCCCTCTGCCCTGTTCTGTGTGACTCCCTCCATCTGAGACTCTGCAAATGACAGGGGAGCAAGAATGGGACTTGGTCCTCCCTTTACATGTGAGGACATTTCAGTCCCGAGATCCAACACATGCAGACAGACACACCATGGAGAGAACAGATGAGTTTGGCCAAAAGACAAATATTTTAGGAAAATTTAAACTGGAAAATAAAAACTAAAAAGCTGGCAGTGGGCAGCCCGGGTGGCTCAGTGGTTTAGCGCCGCCCTCAGCCCAGGGCGTGATCCTGGAGACCCTGGAATGAGTCCCACGTCGGGCTCCCTGCATGGAGCCTACTTCTCTCTCTGCCTGTGTCTCTCTCTCTGTATCTCTTGTGAATAAATAAATAAAATCTTAAAAAAAAGAAAAAAGAAAAAAGCTGGCAGGAAGTGAGTGAAATGTTTAATGGTTGTCTGATTAAATAAAAATGAATGAAATAGGCTGCATCATGGACAAGGACAGGATTCCGGCTTGACTTGATGAGAAAATCTAAAACCATTGCAAGAACACACAAATGACACACATACACTCAACAATGATCAGACAATAAGTTATATCTCTAAATTTCTGAATCATATGGTGCTTTAAACATAGAGGGAAAATGAAGACAAAGGAAAGATGAAAAGGTGGAGTTTCGGGATGGTATGTATGTCCAGGTTCCAGTGGGTACCCAGCTAGGGCAGACCTGGCTCATGTTCAGGTCCCCCCCTCTTGCTTGGATTCATTTCCTCCTCACATCCCTGTAGATCAGACCTTTGGGGAACAAAGCTAGATGAAGCCTGATGTTCTGAATAAGACCTCCGGGGGACCCCCGCCATGAGCCTTGAGCTCCTCACATTCAGAAGAGCCACAATCTCCGCTCACGGAGTCCCACACAGCAGGTTTCTCAGGAGACTACAATCTCAGACTGGGGACATGAGAGAGGGGTGTTTCTGGCAGAAGGCAGGCTGGCATGGACAGAGAAGCAGAGTCCTAATCATTTCAACCTGCCAGCCACAGGCCATGCCCACTGCCAAGTGCCCACCCCGAGTCACCCACTCGGGGCAGCTTCCTCCAGAGAAAACCCAGGACCCAGAGAATGCATTTAACTCAGAAACCCCTCAACCCAGTTCTCCAAGCGACACAGCAGCTCAGCAGAGGCGGGAACTCCCCTGGCCCTCGGAACAAGAGGCAAAGAAGGTGAATGTTTAAGAAACAAAACAAAACAAAAATATCATCTGTTTCAGAAAGAACTGCATGCTGGGTAACACCAACATGATCCAACACGGCATCACATTCCAGCACACCGCGCACTTAGGGAAATGATAAAACTCCATAATTCTCCCTCAAATAGGAGAACGCTTCCAAAATGTGTGTTTTCCTCAGTTGGCATCATGGTTCCTGTTGTCATTCTTTTCCTCCGATGGGTATCAAGGTCCAGCTGAACTCAGTCACTTCCTGGGTGATGTTACCCTCATCTCTGGTGGTAAACTGAAAGTTGCCTGGGAGCGAGATCAAAATTTACTCCTGAGTCCTGGGTGCGTCTCCAAAACCATCTACACAGAAGTCCAATGGCTTCTCCACTGCCCTCCTGCTCAAACATGCCAGTGCACATGGAGCTCAGCCAACTCCAGCCCCCGGGCCCCATTTGGGCACCCCTCCCCTTAAGGAGAGAAAGAAGCTGGCCCCCAGCACCAGGACTGGAAAAATCCAGGCCAGATGTGGGGTGGGTTGCAACTGCTACAAATTTTTACATATTAGGAAAAAAAAAATAAGTCATGTGCGTGCCAAAATGACCCACCGGCTGCCCTGCCCCAGGGTCCCCATGGGGACAGCTCATGGCTCTGGTGTTGAAAGGGTCAGCCCACCTTTTTTAACCATCTGGGGCAGCACCTCCCACCCCACACTGCCTGGCCAAGGGCCCTGCCCGCCCTGAGGAAAGGGAACTGACGTCAGCTCCAGCACAACGTGGAGGTCCAATTTTCAGGGGAAGAGGCGCAATGGGCCACATCCCAGGAAAAAGAAAAGACACTTTGCTGTTGGCTAAAGCCAAGTTTTAACCAAAGGGATTATAAACTCCTCTGTGCCCAAACTAGCACTATTGTTTTTTTAAAAGAGAATAAGAGGGGCAGCCCCAGTGACACAGTGGTTTAGCACCACCTGCAGCCCAGGGTGTGATCCTGGAGACCCTGGATCAAGTCTCACATCGGGCTCCCTGCATGGAGCCTGCTTCTCCCTCTGCCTGTGCCTCTGCCTCTCTCTGTGTGTCTCTCATGAATAAATAAATAAAATCTTAAAAAAAAAATAAAAAGAGAATAAGAAAGAGGGGGGGGAAAGCCCCCGCCGTATCTCCAGGCAGCCCTTTCGGGGGTCATCCCGGCTTTTGGGACACGGATCCAGGAAAAGACTCTTCATGGAGTTTTTAGGTTTGGGAAAAACCAATCAGGGATGGAGGGAACACCAGAATCCCTTCACCAGAGCAGGTGAGCAGGTGAGCCCAGATGTGGGATCAAAGAGCAGAGATCCACTCGACCAGGGTTCTCTGTGCAGATCGGGACCCACCAGCTTCCCGGCCGTTGTGACTGTGTCCCCAGATGCAAAGGGAAATAGAGGAAAAAGTCTTCAGCCACCTCCTTCAAATCGACCAGCCCTTTTGCGGAGAAAAAGGGAGAGGAAGTGTTTAAGTCGGAACGTTGATCCAGATCAGATCCCCGGCTGACAGGCTTATTTATCTTCCTTGGCCAAGCCCGGGAGGGCAGAGGTCCCTCCTGGGGTCCCTAGTGGGATGAGGTCTTGGGAGGCCTGAAAGGCTCTTAGTGTTTGTGGCGACAGTTGATTTTGCCTTCCGACTGCTCCAGGACGTCCAGCATCTCCTCGATGATGGCCCGCAGCGCCCTGCCCAGCTGGTCTGCATTGTACGGCTTGCCCAGTGGAGGCACGTGAACAAAGGCTGAGCGGCCGTGACTCTGGTACAGAGAGGTGTAGTAGGTGAAGTCACAGAGGTACCTGTGCGGGGGCAGGAGGGAGACCAAAATGGGGTCAGAGAATCAATACACACAGACTAACAGGATGGCCTCCCTCCCCACCTGCTGTAATAGCCCCAGCCTTGCCAGAAATACACGAAATGGAATACTGCTTCTCCCCTCCCCACCTCCCAGGTTGGCAAAAATGAAGAAAACCTGGGAACTCCAGGTGCTGCTGTGTATGTGAGGAAGGAGGCAGTATGAGGTGCAGCTAGTGGGAATGCCAACTGCCCCAGGGGAAGAGTTTGGCAGGCTAGTAATGTGACAGACACTTAGACTTTAGGACAGGTTCTTTCTGGTTTTGAGAATCTATCTTCAGAAGCCACCCGCACAAGGGCACAAGAAAGGTGAAGAAGGTGTTTGCTGCACCATTAAGTATAAAAGAATAAGGGGATACCTGCGTGGCTCAGCGGTTGGGCATCTGCCTTTGGCCCAGGGTGTGATCCTGGGGTCCCGGGATCAAGTCCCACATTGGGCTCCCTGCATGGAGCCTGCTTCTCCCTCTGCCTGTGTCTCTGCCTCTCTCTCTCTGTCTCTCATAAATAAATAAATAAATAAATAAATAAATAAATAAATAAATAAATAAATAAATAAATAAAATTTTTTTAGAAAGTATAAAAGAACAAGAAGTGGGGCACTTGAATGGCTCAGTCATTCTCTGCTCTGCCTTCAGCTCAGGTCATGAACCCAGGGTCCTGGGATCGAGCTCTGTGTCCAGCTCACTGCTCGGCAGGGAGTATGCTTTTCCCTCTACTCCCCTTGCTTGTGTTCTTTCTCTCTCTCTCAAATAATGAAATACAATCTTTTTCTTTCTTTTTTTTTTTTTGAGTAGAATAAGCAGCTACCTGCTAGCATCTGAATGTCCTTCCTCAAATTCACTGTTGAAGCCCTGACTCCCAATGTCATGGTATTAAGAGGCAGGGCCTTTGGGAAGTAAGAGCCCTCACGAATGGGGTTAACACCCTTATAAAAGAGACTGCACATATACAATGGAATATTTACTCAGCCATCAGAAAGGACGAATACTCATCATTTGCTTTGACATGGATGGAACTGGAAGGTATTATGCTGAGTGAAGTAACTCAATCAGAGGACAATCATTATTTGGTTTCACTCATACAGGAAATATAAGAAATAGTGAAAGGGATTATAGGAGAAAGGAGGGTAAATGAGCGGGAAAAATTAGAGAGGGTGACAAAACATGAGAGACTCCTAACTCTGGGAAATGAACAAGGGGTAGTGGAAGGGGGGGGCGGATGGGGGGATGGGGTGACTGGGTGACGGGCACTGAGGGGGGCCCTTGACGTGATAAGCACTGGGTGTTATGCTATATGTTGGCAAATTGAACTTCAATTATATATATATATATATATATATATATATATATATATATATGAAAGAGAGACCGCACAGAGCTCTCTTCCTCCTCCTGCCAGATGAGGACACACTAAGGAGCCAGCAGTCTGCAACCCAGAGGGAGGCCTTCATCACAGTATGACCAGGCTGGTGCCATGATCTTGAATTTCCCGGCCTCCAGAATTGTGAGCAATCACCCTGTTGTTTATAAGCTGCCTGGCCAGTGGTATCCTGTTATAGCAGACCTAATGGGCTAGCGCGCAACATAAACGTCCGCAGATGGGAGAGTGGCTTAGTAAATTGGAACAGCCACTCAGTGGAATATCACATAGCCATTTACCAGGCATGTAGGAGATCCAAAGGAAGGGATGCCTGGGTGGCTCGGTTAGTTAAGTGTCTGCCTTTGGCTCAGGTCATGATCTCGGGGTCCTGGGATCGAGTCCCATATCGGGCTTCCTGCTCAGCAGGGAGTCTGCTTCTCCCTCTGCCCTACTTGTGCTCTCTATCTCAAATAAATAAATAAAATATTTTTTAAAAAAAAGTCTCAGATTTACCAGAGGGATCGCTAGGGAGGAGAGAGAGCAAGAGAATTTTTCACGATGGGAACATAGGAGATGTTCTAGAATTATTGTGCCATTTAGAATTCGTTTTAAAAACAGAAAGATGGCAAATTCGGTTACTCCTTTCAGCCTACTGAATCAGCCACCTGCTGCCTTTGGGCTGGAGAAGTGTACAGAGTGCTGAGAAATGGAGATATGGGTGCTAAGAGGACATGGAACAGAGAGGACACAATTTGGTCTGGGTGCTGGCAGAGACCCCCCCACCCAAGGCAGCAACATGTTGGAGCTAAGGCCTGAAAGATGCCTTATCAGAGGGAGGTGAGTTCTGGGCAGAGGTCACAGCACCTGCAAAGACCCCCAAGGCTAGAGTGAGCATGGTGTTTGAGCAACCAGAGAAGGCCAGTTTGTGGGGCTGGCGCATAGTAGGGGAGGGAAGAGTGAAGGCTGACACGAAGTAGGGGAGGGATGGGCAGGGGCCAGACTACACATCACCTGTGGATGGTGGAGGACAGGTTGGGATTTTACTCTAGGTGCAGTGGGAGCTTCAGGAGGGATTTTTTTTTTTTTAAGATTTTATTTATTTATTTATTTATTTATTTATTTATTTATTATTTATTATTTTTTTTTAAAGATTGTATTTATTCATGAGAGACAGACACACACACACAGAGAGAGAGAGGCAGAGACATAGGCAGAGGGAGAAGCAGGTTCCATGCAGGAAACCTAATATGGGACTCCATCCCAGGACTCCAGGACCACGCCCTGGGCTGAAGGCAGCGCTAAACCGCTGAGCCACCCAGAGATCCCCAAGATTTTATTTATTTATTCGTGAGAGACACAGAGAGAGAGGCAGAGATGTAGGCAGAGGGAGAAGCATGCTCCATTCGGGGAGCCCGATGTGGGACTTGATCCTGGGACCGTGGGATCACGCCCTGAGCCAAAGGCAGATACTCAACCACTTAGCCACCCAGGCATTCCTGCAGGAGAGATTAAGCAAAGGAGGAACACCATCTGACTTAAATGTATAAAAGACCTTGTAACAGGCTAAAGAGTTTCTTCCCAAAGTTGATGTTCACCTGGAACCTCAAAATGTGACCTTATTTGGATAGAGGGGTTTTGCAGATATTAGTTAAGATGAAAACATACTGGATGAGGGTGGGTCCTAAATCCAATGACTGGGGTCCTCAGAAGAAGGCCATGTAAACACACACACAGGGAAGAAGGCCACGTGGAGATGGAGACAGAGATCAGGGTAACGCAGCCATGAGCCCCCAAGGGTTACCAGCAGCCACCAGAAGCCAGGAGGAAGGCAGGGGGCAGATTCTCCCTCAGAGCCTCCAGAAGGAGCAAACATTGCCCACACCTTGCTTTTGGCCTTCTAGCTCCAGAACTGGGAGAGATTACATTTTTGTCCTAAGCTATGAAGTTGATGGCTTTGTTAACAGCCACAGAAAATGAATACAGAGGTGCCAGGGTGGCTCAGTTGGTGAAGTGTCTGACTTGAGCTGAGGTCATAATCCCAAAGTCCTGGGATCCAGCCCTGCATCAGCTCCCTGCTCAGCGCAGGGCCTACCTCTCCCTCTCCCTCTGCCTTTCTCCCTGTTCCTGCTCTCTCTCTGTCAAATAAATAAATAAATAAATAAACAAACAAATAAATAAATAAATAAAATCTTTAAAAAAAGAAGAAAGAAAAAACAAAATGGATATAGAAACAACTGTTTGGAGGAGGAGGACTGTCAGGGCCAGGCCAGAGGTGGCAGGAGGAACACCAGTGAGGTGGCTGGGGCAGCGACCAGGGGCAGACGCCAAGGCCTGGGTAGGGACAGGTGGGCAGATTCAGACATTTTGAGTTCTGGAAGCAGGATCAGTGGCATCTGTTCCACGCATATGCTTCACTCTGGGGCTTATGGATGCCGAGTGCTCAGTCCACAGGGGGCCAAAGTCAACACACTTGGCCTGTTCAACACTAGCTTGGGCCCATGGAGGAGGGAAAGCACCCCCACTCACCCCCAAGGTGCCCTACCTGCCAGCATCTTGTGAGATGGTCACTGACACATCCAGGCCCAGCGTAGTGACCCTCTTACAGACCGCGTCCATGTCGATGATGGAGTCGATGCTTTCGGGCCCGTCTTCCACGCAGCACTGGGAGCCAGGGCAGAAGCGGCAGTTGTCCAGCCCCTTGTAGCCCTTGTTATGCCCACATTTCTCCAGTGTGACAGTAGTCGCCATGCCCGACACCCCCACATGCACCACGAGCTGCAGATAGACATGCAGGGCTTAACAGGGGTGTGGCCAAAAGACTGGGGGTTCCCCCCCAGGCCAAGGAGAGGCCCCTTGTTGCTGGAATAGGCCATACAATACCCCACAGAAAGGTCTCCCAAGAAAACATGCCAGGATGTACAACACGCAAGGATATTCACTGCAGCTGTGTTAACACAAATACCAGAAAACAACCTCATTAGCCATTAGCAGCTGGGGGGGGGTTTGGGGGGGTGTTGGCTAAATAAATTAATAAATTAGGAGCTACTACTATGTAGCTGTTAACATGCCAAAAGCATTCTGTTAAGGAACTATCTTCAAGCCATATTGCCAAATGCAAAAGACAAGGTGTAACTTCCAGGAATCTAACCTATGATCAAAGAGGTAATAATGTGTCAATGGTCGTTTCAGTGTTTTTTCTAAAAATGAGGGGAAAAACTCATGAAAACACTGGCATGCTCCATTATAGGAGAACAGTTACATTCATTAGGAAAAACTGCCCAGCTGTTAAAATAACGTAAGGGAAAAATTTTTAACGACCTAGGCACTAAAATGCTCATGATAAAATATTTATGGAAAGCAGGACACCCGCACTGAATACAGTTGAATTTCAACTATTCATTATTAGTGTGTATGCTTACACACAGAAAGGGCATTGTACACATAAACATTTACACATGTAAACATTTCAATGTGGGCTGAGGAGCATGCTGTCCCATATGGCAGCCAGGGGCCATGGAACTAGTGAGCACTTAGAACGTGGCTGGTAGGAATTGAGATGTGCAGTCAGAGCAGAACACACACCAGATTTTGGAGACCGGGCACACACACAAAAAAAGAATGTAAAATCCCTCTGTAATAACTTTTCTAAGGTTGATGACACGTCGAGATGATAATATCCTAGATACACAGGGTTCCAAAAAAGATATTATTAAAAATGTATTTCACCTCTTTGTTTTGACATTTTTTAATTTTTTTTAATTTTTTTTAAAGATTTTATTTTTTTATTCATGAGAGACACAAAGAGAGAGAGGCAGAGACACAGGCAGAGGGAGAAGCAGGCTCCACGCTGGGAGCCCGACGCAGGACTCGATCCCGGGTCCCCAGGATCTGGCCCTGGGCTGAAGGCGGCGCTAAACCGCTGAGCCACCTGGGCCACCCTATTTTGACATTTTAAAAATGTGGCTAGAGGGGGGATCCCTGGGTGGCGCAGCGGTTTGGCGCCTGCCTTTGGCCCAGGGCGCGATCCTGGAGACCCGGGATCGAATCCCACATCGGGCTCCCAGTGCATGGAGCCTGCTTCTCCCTCTGCCTGTGTCTCTGCCTCTCTGTCTCTCTCTGTGACTATCATAAATAAATAAAAATTTAAAAAAAAATGTGGCTAGAGGGACACAGAGCGGCAGCCCTGGTGGCTCAGCGGTTTAGAGCCTGCCTTTGGCCCAGGACGTGATCCTGGGGTCCCAGGATTGAGTCCCACAACGGGCTCCCTGCATGGAGCCTGCTTCTCCCTCTGCCTGTGTCTCTGCCTCTCTGTGTTGCTCATGAACAAGTAAACTAAATCTTAAAAAAAAAAAAAAAAAAGGGCAGCCCTAGTGGCTCAGCGGTTTAGCGCCACCTGCGGCCCGGGGTGTGATCCTGGAGACCCAGGATCGAGTCCCAAATCGGGCCTTCTGCATGGTGCCTGCTTCTCCCTCTGCCTGTCTCTCTGCCTCTCTCTCGCTCTCTCTGAATGAATAAATAAATAAATCTTAAAAAAAAAAAAAAAAGAGCACACGTAGTGGCACACTAGCACAGATGCACATGCGTGTATGCAGACACATGTGTGAGCAACAACAGTAATCGTGGTGCCAGTTAACCAAGCAGGGGTGATTCTCTATGGTATGAAAATTTTTACAAACATGTTCATGCTTTCGGGTAATTTTGTTTGTTTACCTGGAAAAAAGGCAGGACTCCACATGCAAAGCAGAAAAAAAAAACCCATTGACAGAACTTTAGTCACATCTCACTAAGTCTCCAGGTCCCCTTTACAAAGGGACAGATTCCACTTGAGACACCACGAAGGGCTCATTAGGAAGGAAGTCTCCACTGGTTGGTCCTGGAAAATCCACAAGGGCAGGCTAGTGTGGGAAGCTGGGTGGGGCCCCCCTAGATGAACAGTACATCACCTATCAGAGACAGCAGCCCAGGTAACTTCACCTCCGACCCCTTGGAGCTCTCTGTGCCCAGAGTCTTGGCTGGGCCATGTGTGTCTGTGGTGGGAGAGTGTGGCTCCTGTTTGTCTGGCCTCCATTCCGCTGCATTTGGTAATAGCCAGTTCCCTCCCATATTCAGTTTCCCTTTGTGGAGCCCCGAGAGCCCCCATCTTCTTTCAGGAGGTTTGAGAGAGGTGATGCCACCCCTGGCCACCAGAGTTGGCATGTGACCCAGGCCTCACAAATCAGAGCATTCCTTCTTTCCTCCAACCCCCAGCCATAGTGCTTGGTTCAGGGACTAGCATGGGACCCAAGTGGGCCAATGAAAATCAGCCACGGACCCTGGGGAATTATCAAAAGGAGAGTTGTTTTCTTTCTGCGGAGGGGCTGGGTTGGGAAGGTATAAATCAGCAGCCATCTGTCTTTGCCAAAGCAAAAGTGAAGTGCAAAGCAAAGCTGAATGGCCAAGTAAGAATGCTGATAACACTGGGTGAGTGCCTGGATCAAGCTATACCTGAAGCACACTGATGTTTGTGCTTAAGCTGAGTTAAAGTGTGTTCTGACTGTCACATATAACTAAACAGGTCATGACTGATACAGAACTCCAGTGCGACAGAGCCAGTCTCTATGAGGTTCCAGATGTTTGCTCTCCTCCCTCAAATCCACGGGTAACCCAGGAAACTGTGGCTCTTTGGGGGACAAGGCCATGGCATCGGCTATGTGATGGAAGCAGGAACAAAGCCACACAAATCATCCATGTGTGGGGTGCCCACCTGCAGGTCCTGATGAGGAAGCACCTGCCTTCGCCCCACTCACCTGTGGGCTGTGCTTCTCCCACAGGGCAGGGATGAGCCTCTGGACCGTCTTGTACTCAACTGGAATCTCATACACGTGCAGGTCCACGCTGTCACCAAGCCCGAGCTTCTCTAGCTCCTGGAAAGGAGGGGAGAGGGAGTGTTGTGGCATCAGGTGAGGGCTGCAGGGTTAATGCGTTCCCAGGGGATAAGCTGACCCATCCTCAGAAAACAGGTGGAGCTCCTGACTCAGTGTGCAGAGTGGAAGGTCAGGTTCATGTGCTGTTCTACCCCAAAGCTCCTCCCTCCTCCCCCTACCCACCCACCCATCTCAAACTTTCTGCATCTCTAGGGGCATCAGTATAATGCCATGGCCTTTGGAGCTAGGCAGCCTGGTTTGAACCCTGTGTGACCTTGGGCAAGTTACTTAACCTCTCGGAACCTCAACTTCCTCATCCATAAAATTGGGATAAAAAAGTACTTAATTCATAAGGTAGTTATAAGGATTAAAGGAACAAATTCACACAAAGAGTCCATGCTATGCTTGGCACTAACAAATGCTCAAATAATGTTGGCTACCATTACTACTACTGTTTTTGCTGTTGTTATTATACTTTCCCCTTCATTACACCTATTAAGATTGATTGATTGATTTATAAGATTTTATTTAGGGGATCCCTGGGTGGCTCAGGGATTTAGCGCCTGCCTTCGGCCCAGGGTTTGATCCTGGAGTCTCAGGATTGAGGCCCACATCAGGCTCCCAGTATGGAGCCTGCTTCTCCCTCTGCCTGTGTCTCTGCTTCTCTCTTTCTCTATGTCTCTCATGAATAAATAAATAAAATCTTATTTTTTTATTTATTCATTCATGAGATTTTATTTATTCATTCATGAGAGACACAGAGAAAGAGAGAAGCAGAGACACAGGTAAAGGGAGAAGCAGGCTCCCTGCAGGGAGCCGGATGTGGGACTCAATCCCAGGACCCTGGGATCACGACCTGAGCCCAAGGCAGATGCTCAACCACTGACCCATCCAGGTGTCCCCCTTGGATTCTCAGTGTGGTCTATCAAGTGTCCACCTGTTAACTCCATGGAGGTAGAGCCCCAGACCAGGCTCCCTTCCCCAGATGGCCCAAGGCACAATGCACAGTAGACTCAGGACCAAATTTGCTGGAGGAACAGTGATCCTGCCAGCCCTGGCACCCAGGGGCAGGGAGAGATGTTTGGGGATGAAGGTATTGGCTTAATATAAAATACTGAGTTTTTTCATAGTAAAATTAATACTCTGAAAAATGATTATTGGCAGGATGGTCTCTTATCATTCTCCGATCTCATGCACTGGTTTGAAAAGGCTACCACGGGTGGATGTCCTGGGGTTCTATGGATGGGTCCCATGCATGCATGTGGCCTTACTGAATTAATTCACTGCAGGTGAGTTCTTGCATCTCCTGAGGTAGCTTCAGGATTTCTTTAACTGGTTGCCTTGACCTTGCTGTCCTGACTCCATGGTCTTTTTTGTTGTTGTTGTTGTTGTTGTTTTAAGATTTTATTTATTTGAGAGAGAGAGCGCACAAGATGGGGAGGAACAGAGAGAGAGGGAGAAGCAGGGTCTGAGCTGAGCGGGGAGCCCAATGCAGGACTCAATCCCAGGACCCTGAGATCATGACCTGAGCCAAAGGCAGACATTCAACCAACTAAGCCACCCAGGTGCCCCTCCATGCTATTTGACCACAGTTGCTGGAGAGACCTGGAAAGGCAGGTCTCTCCTTACAGACAGATAATTCCAAATCGCTCCCCAAAGACGGTGCGTCAGGGTCACCTGGACACAAGGACACCTGGAGGGTAGGTGGGACATGGTGTGTGTGTTTGGGGACTCTCAAACACCAATAGAGAACTGGGACCCATCCCTGTCACCAAGCCCAATGATGTGCGGGATCAGAAGGATCCCCCCTCAAGAAATCCCATGGCCAGACAGACGAGGGCGGAGGGCAGAACTGCCCCCCCAAACACTGGTGCACATGTGGGCTGCAGACCAGTGCTGGGGCAGGCACCCTGGGAGGCAAGGGGGTGACCTTTTCTGTGAAAGCAATTTCAAAACATTGAAAACATACTTAAGACAAGCTTTGTCAACGATCTAGTTTCACTTACAATTATTTCAGTCATTAGTATTTTTACTCTTCATGTTCCCTTTTCACCTAAGCCTTAACTCCCCGGATGGTGCAATGGGATTGAGAACATGCTTTAAAGGGTGTGGGGATTTGGAGACAAAGCGGGCGTGGGGCTCGCCACTGAAAGCCTGGGAAGGCTTCACATCTGTGATTCCTGTTTCCATTCCCACTAGTTCATCAACACTCACCACTTGGAGCCTGCCACGCAGCCAGTGATTGTTTCTCAAGGCCACACACATGCACGGACAAACCATCTTCTGCTTGAGAATTCGTCATAGTAAAGTGAATACTCCAAATAGTAATTACCAGTAGGGTTGTCCTGTAGGTTTCCCAGGTCTCACTCAGCGGTTTGAAAATGTGACCCTGGTGGATACTAGAGAGTTCCATGGGATTTATGGGATACCCCAATTTTGCTTAGCAAATTGATTTTGGCACCCCACACTACCCCAACCTCCCGCCTCCCAAGGCCAAATCTAAAATCACATCACACCCTTCCCTTGTTCCCACTCTGTGGTGCCTCCTGCCACACTCAGAATAAAAATCCTAACTCCCCACCATGGTCCATGAGGCCCTGTGGGAGCAAGATGCTGCCAACTTTCTTGCCCTCCTCTCCCTTCACTGCCCCCTCCCTGACTTTACTCACTTTCCTCCAGCCTTCTCACATGGCTTCCCACACACCACACTCATTCCTGCCGCAGGGTCTTTGCACTGACTGTTCTCACTGCACAGAACACTTTTATCCTTACTTTCCTGTCAGTGGACTCTCTCCTTAGCTTTCATAACTCAGCCTCCTAAGGGGTCCTTGCCACAGCACAGGACGTGCACACAGTAGGTGCTTATGAATACTGACTGAACAACTGAGCAGCTCAAGCAGGGACCAAGAACAAATATAGACTTAAGTGCCCATTTTCTTCAACTATAAATGTAGGTTTGGACTAGCTGCTAGCTGGGATCCTCTCCTTCCTTTTCATCCTTTCCTACATTTAAAAGTAGCTCCTGGGAGCCCTTTGGGGGCTTAGTCGGTTAAGCATCTGCCCTCACCTCAGGTCATGATCCTGGGGTCCTGAGATTGAACCCCACATCAGCTCTCTGCTCAGCAGGGAGTTCTGCTTCTCCCTCTGACCCTCTCCCTTGCTTGTGCTCTCTTTCAAATGAATAAATACAAAATCTTAAACAAAAAAGATAGTTCCTCCAAATAATAAGAGATTACTTAAATAAACAAAACCTTAAAAATAAATAAATAGGGGATCCCTGGGTGGCTCAGTGGTTTAGCGCCTGCCTTTGGCCCAGGGCGTGATCCTGGAGCCCCGGGATCGAGTCCCACGTCAGGCTCCTGGCATGGAGCCTGCTTCTCCCTCTGCCTGTGTCTCTGCCTCTCTCTCTCTCTCTCTCTCTCTCTCTCTCTCTCTCTCTCTCTATGTCTATCATAAATAAAAAAAATCTTTTAAAAAATAAATAAATAAATAAATAAATAAATAAATAAATAATAGATAAAAGTAACTTTTCACTATTCACAAGAGTGAAGAGATAGAGATAGCCCAAGCATCCATCAGTGGATAAAAGGATAAATAAACAAAATGCAGTCTAGCTACACAATGGAATATTATTGTTCAACCACAAAAAGGAATGAAGCCCTGATTCACGTTACAATGTGGATGAACCATCAAAACAGCATGCTGATGGGATGTCTGGGTGGCTCAGTGGCGTGACCCTGGATCACAGGATCGAGTTCCACATCAGGCTTCCTGCAGGGAGCCTGCTTCTCCCTCTGCCTATGTCTCTGCCACTCTCTCTGTGTCCCTCATGAATAAATGAATAAAATCTTTAAACAAAAAACAAAATAACAAAAACAAAAACAGCATGCTGAGGGAAAGAAGCCAGACACAAAAGGCCACAGAGCATATTGACTTCATGTATATGAAATGTCCAAAACAACCAAATCCATAGACACAGAAAGTAAATTAGTGGTTTTACCAAGAGCTGGAGAAGGAGGGGATAGGGAGTGGCTGCTAATGGGGATGGAATTACCTTTAGGGTGATAGAAATGTTCTGGAACTAGATAGGGTGGTGGTTGCACAACACTGTGAATGTACTAAATGCAATTGAATTGTTCATTTTAAAAGGGATAATTTTATGTTACGTAAATTTCATCTCAGTAAACAAAGGAAAGGGAGAAAAAGGTAGCTCTTAACCACATGGATGGTGGAGGGTAGGAGTCAGGGACATAGCCTCCAGAGCCGGGGGACTATGTTTGTCCCTTCTTCCTACAACTCACTGATTTGTGACCTTGGGCAAGTCATTCACCCTCTCTGTGTCTCAGCTTTCTCATCTGTAAATGAGATTAACTGTAGTACCCATGTCATAGGTAGGAAAAATAAAACAATATACACAAAAGGCGTCCCTAGTGTCCTGTTTAAAAAAATAAAACAATATACACAATATACACACAATTATACACATAGTGTCTAATAATTGATCAAAAGATGTTAATTTAGAGGCAGCCCAGGTGGCTCAGCGGTTTAACGCCGCCTTCGGTCCAGGACCTGATCCTGGAGACCTGGGGTCGAGTCCCATGTCAGGCTCCCTGCATGGAGCCTGCTTCTCCCTCTGCCTGTGTTTCTGCCTCTCTCTCTCTCTCTGTCTGTGTCTCATGAATAAATAAATAAAATCTTTTAAAAAATAACACTGTTCAGTCATTGAGGAGTCAAAGGTAGAGTTCTAGAAAGGACAAGAAGGCTACAGTTTGCAGAGCAGAGTCCTGGAAAGAAGATAGCAGGGGGGAGGTGAAGCAGAGAGCTCGATCAATGCAGAGAGGGTCTGAGAACTAATGGGCATATATTTGTGCCAAGACCAGGGACAGAACCACTTGAAAGGAGCAAAGGGAACAACCCTCAGAGTTCACACAGGGTGTAAACACTTGGTGTTCTTACCAGCCAGAGTGGAAAAACTTTATAAGGAAGTGGAGAAAAAATTA